TCATACAGAATGGAATTTTACAGGAGGGAACTTTTGCAACTTTATTCTGGGCAAGGGGTATATAGAGGAGGCACAGAGGAAGCCCACCTTGACCTGAAAACTTGGTCCTCACAACTAACTCTGTCCTCCTGAGTGGCTTATACCCATGTAAGATCACAGAGGCCCTGCCAGGGTCCATTCCACTAAATTCCTGAAAGCTGAAGAACCACCAGGCTCAGCAAGGGTAAGGGAGGAAGACACCACACTAAGCATGGGAGCATGTCCCGGAAGATGCAGACAGCCATATCCACTGTTACGATGAGGAAACAAAATTAAGACAAGAATATACAAATGATAGGAAGGAGAAAATCAAATTAGAAAAGCAGTTTTTCTTTCATCTACTCCAATCATCCTTTCTCCCACTATTATAGTAAATGAAACAAGGTGTGGCAGAAGAATAAAGTATAGTTTTCACTTGAAGCTGTGGCTGAGTCCTTTTGTCTGTCTGTCTGTCTGTCTGTCTGTCATCTGTTGGTCTGTTTTTTCTGTGTAAAGCAACAGTTTGACCAAAAGAGAAATACTTTCCTTTTGAGGGTGCTCCTTAGGATGTGGGAAGAGCAGAACCAAAACCCACGTCCTTCTCAGATGGCAGGGAGCACTGAGCCTCCTATGCAGAAGCTGTAGAGTCTGAACCAGGCAACTTCAAGCCCGGCTTTGGGTAGAAGGAAAGGCTCCCGGGACCACAGAGAAGACAAGAGGAAGAGTGATCGTGTGCCCGTTCCTCTCCAGTGGGAACAGTGCTGTGTGTAAATGCTGCATGAAAACACCTAGTGACTGGCTGAGCAGCCGAATTATGGTTTCTCAAAGCCAAGATGAGTAGACAAGCCAATTGTAGTAAGTTGCTTTGCACACTGTTGCTGAAGCTGTCTTGAGTACACCTGAAGACGTGAAATGTGTGTGTAGTGTGCTTGATGGACTGTAACTCAGACCTTTTAGCCGTCACCGCCTTTGCAGAAGCACTGTGACTCAGGCAGAGATAGTATCTGACCGGCAGCTCAGCCATGCCTGAGGGTTTCAGCATTCCCCCCATTAGTTTATGGAACACTTGCTTTTACGATGGCCAAGTGGAGAGTGACAAAAAGAGAGCTGATGGAAATGCCACAGCCATGGTTTGTCTTTCTGAGGAGTTCAAATCTTGGCTCGCTTCTTTTGTGAGTGATTTATGTGTACACCTCCTGGATCTTGTCATGGACTTGTGTCTACACTGAGACTCCTCTCTTCGCTCCTAGAGCTCTTAGTTCCACACCACACAAGACTTATGCACTGTCCCAGTCTCTTACGTGATTTACCAGGTGATGCTGCAACCTCTTTTCAAAATCTCTTGCAGAAAGCCATCGCTTCCACCTAAGGGCCAATTTCTGCCAACAAAGATTCAGTTTGTGGCAAAACCAATGCAGTAAGGGTTATTACTGGAGACCTTCCTGTGAGGGGGATGCATTTCTACATTATGACATTGCCTGATGAGGGCCTGCCTTTCCATAACAGCAGTTGAACTTGAATTTTTCTCAGTGATTACCTGCTTCTGTTTTAAAAAGTAGATGGTTATACAGAAAATACATAATGAGAATAGATAAAAGAGAAATACTGCCTTGGAAGTAGTACAAGGGAGAACAAAGACAGAGATTGGAGAAGGTGAGGAGAAAGGGAAACATTAACAGTGTTTATCTGTTCTTGAGATGATGAAACTTGAAATTGCCTGAAAGAATGTTTTGGTTTTTCCACACTAACCTGTGTATGCAAGGGTTATCAAAGTGGGTAGTTTTGGAAGAAGCAATTATTTCCTGTTGAAGTTACAGATAAAAGGTCCTGGCAAACATACGTAGATAAGATTTTTTTTTCTTGAAGGATAAAACTCTCGTGTTTCTTTAAATATATAGACTCGGCTTAAGGAACTGAAAGTGCTGTCTTTAGAGCCATGAGGTTAGAGCCACGGACCACCTCGTGGTTTGTGTCTCTCTTTGGTTCCCACCCTCCCTGCCTTGTGGCTTTGCTGCATGATTCCTACTTTGATCCTGTAACCCACTGACACCGAAGTTACCCTGGGCGGTGCCCTCACTCTACATGTCCCGGGCCATGGGCAGGGCCCACTCAGGCTTGCAGTGAGTTCTCAGTGAGCGTGGCCCCATCTCTGGTCCAACTGGTGCTCGCTCCGAAGCACAGGCAGCTGGAGTAGTTGTGGGTGGTGTAGTACAGAGCCGCAGCCTGGGTTTTAAACTGAGATGCTGTTTTCACGAGAAATTACTGAAAACTACAGTTGTGGCTCTCTGTTTTCATACTAGACACTTGGAAAATGACTATAATTACACAGAGAAAAGAGTCCAGATTACATGGTGGGCTTTTTTAAATTACAAAACTATATTGGTGCACTTTTTCCAGTTTTTCATGAAGGATTTCAACCACAGCAACAACTCTGGTCTTGTGTTTAGCAACAAAAGATGATTCCCCAGTAGCATTTCTCTGCCATGAGTGGATACGGGGTAGATCTCTCCCTCCCTTTCCCCGGCCCTGCATCTGACATTCTGAAGTTTAACAGTAAAGTATTTTGGGTCATTTCATTTCATTTCATTGAGACATCTTCCAAATGGGATTAAGAATAAATGAAAATGAGCCAAGCAGTAGCACTAATAAATCGGTGCCTTGTGGATAAGAGCAAAGCAACTGCAACAGGCCAGACAGCGTGCAGGCGCGTGAGCCCACAGAGCACGGTGTAGAAGCTGACAACTGAAACTTGTTAAGTTGGAGTTAGTGTAGAAGTTATTGCTTGCAAAAGAAAAAATTTTTTCACTATGGCTTAGAAAAAGGAAGGCACACCATAAATACTTATTGACTCAATGAAGAACTGAATGCTGTCTGATTAGACAAGCTCTAGTGCCTGTGATCACCTGTGTCTGGTTAAGTGACCCCTACAAAAAGGAAGGAAGTTCTGAGAATCGGTCTTTCAAACATCTCTATTCCCACCCCATCGAGGCAGGCCCCCTGTCCCCGCTGTCCTGCCTGAGAGGTCAGGAGAAGCCCTGCCGACAGCAGCAGTGACCAGAGGTAAGCACGCTGCAGAGTGAGGCATGGTGCTCCCGTCCCAGCTTGGAACCACAGCTCCTGTGTCCTTAGTGCAGCCTCAGCCGCATAGCAGAGGGAGATGGAGATGGGACCCCGACATGCACATTGTACGTGCAACCTGCACAGCCACAGGCCTGCTTCACTGTATTTTGTTAAATGAGAGCCTGTAATAACAGAATCCCAATCAAGCAGGACCTTTTCTCACATGCACACTGAGAGCACAAATGTCTTAGCCATTCGGGAGCACCAACAAGCTCACAAATTCTAAGTTCTTAGTGGGAGCTCACCTAAGTTTTTTGTAATCTTAATTGAATTTCTGGTTGTATTTACTATTTCGTCATTTCCAGTGGAGGGGAGAGCGCCTGCAACAGGAAAGGCCTAGTCTTTGTCCTGAGGGACTCTGAAGCCTAACAGTGCAGCAAGTAAAACATATTTTAGAACAGAAACACTCAAGTGATAGTTATGTATTTAAACTGGATTTCATTTATTATACAGTAAAGCTGTGGTACAGCAGTGCTTGGCAGAAGACAGAGCTGAAGAAAGACATTATGCAGAATAGGCTGCTCACCCAGGGAGACGGAGATGGAGATCAGGGCCAGGTCCTTGCCTTTTGCCCAGGTACAGGGCACCAGACCAGACCAGACCAGAAGAATGGGAAGCAGGAGACCAGCTGTCCCTCACGGTACCTTAAGCTCGTGCTGGAATTTTTTCCCTTCTTTGTTTTTAACTTCTTCGGTAGTGGAAGACTAGACCCCTGGCTTTGTTCTGCCCTTTGGCAAAAGCACCAGAAACTCAGCAGGCCTGAGTTTTTGCAGTTCCTAGAGACATCAAGTGACTTCTGGACTCTTCCTCCAGCGAAGCAAAAGCTGTGAACATTTTGCAAGGAAAATTATTTTCCTGTAATCAGATAGACAAAGGCCTACATTTAGACATGGGGAATTTTCACCCATTCGATAAATAACCATCAAGCCACGTCACTGAGATATCTTTTTGTCTCCTTTAATCAGAACAACCCTCAATATTTCCATAACAGTGAACTTTGTGCTTTTGCTGTGTTATTGTCTTTGTGTATTCGCTAAGTTACATTGAAAGTAGAGGAGTTTTTAAAGGTTTGGAATTCTGAATTATTTTATGTAAGTGAGCATTCTGCATTTTTACTAGACGTTGATGGGCAGATAAGAAACCTGTATTCTGGGGCTGGGATTTAGCTCAGTGGTTCTGCTGCCTGCCTCACAAGCACAAGGACTCGAGTTCAATCCCTGATACCAAAAAAAGAAAAAAAGAAAAGAAAAAGAAAGAAAGACACCTGTATTCTAACAGTCCCTGTGTGTAACTTTTTGCTTTTCTTTAACTTCCTCAGAGTTAGTGCTGTGCTTTATTTGTTTTGTATGTAAGAAGCCAAGTTTCCAGTGGTTTGTTGAGTATCTAGTCCTCGCTTTCATCAAAGACTTCTGTGAGAAATAAGGATCCTGGCTATCGAGTTCTCTCACATGGTGGCTGCCCTCACACTGTAGAGTGGACTTTTTCCTACTTGTACTTGGCCCACACTTGCCCTGCTGATCTTGTTTCTTTTCCTACTTTAATAAAACTTTGCTATCATTAAAAAAAAAAAGCACCCAGGTCAATGAACAATCTTTGTCCTGTGTGTATACACTCCTGTGTGTATGTACATGAGAAGGGACTTACCGAAAATTCCAGAAACATACACTTTTAGTCACTAGAGGTAGTTAGAGGACATACATACAGTGAATTTAAACTCAGAAAGGTGGTTTGTGTTTTTGAGACAAGGTCTCTTTAAGTCACCAAGTTGCCCAGGCTGGCTTGGCCATTGAGATCTTCCTGCCTCAGCCTCCCACAGCACTGGGATTTGCCACCATATCCCAGGTTAAAATTAAAATCATCCCATCGCTTCTCGGCCTTTTGGCTAAGATCAAGTGTAAAATTAAAATCATCCAGGGAACTTCTGATGATCAGTTTATTCGCCCAAACCAACAGAAACATAATCTTTAAAGGTGGAGCCTGAGTATTAGCTTTTTAAATTTTTAACTCACATGTACTCAAAACTGCAAGGTTTACAAACCCCCAGCCTTGTCCAACCTCTTATGTGTAGATGGACAGAATGGACGTTCTTCAGGAAGAGATAATTTATCTGTGGAGACAGACCTTGTGTTGGAAGCCACATTCCCTGTCTCTGTCCCAGCTATTTTCATAATAATTCAATATTCGTATTTGGTTTTAGTTTTCACTTATTTGAACTTTCTCTGTATAACATATTACCAGAAAGGGCTATGCAATTTAAATTCCTTTTTTGTAAATTTTTTCTGTCAACCAGAGAAATGATGCCATTCAAAACCCATTAACAGGTGGATTTCCTGTGCTTCCTACCATAGCCTACCTCTTTGCTTTCTACAAAAAAATAAGTTAGTCTTTGATTATTGTGCAAGGTTTTTCAAAACATATTTATATCTTTTATTGCTTATGAAGCAAGTGGATATCTTCAATAATTTTAACATATGTAGAGTCATTTTCAAAGCCATCATTTAAACTGTGGGTGACTCACTTTCTGGGAAACGTTCTGAGAAAGCAGCACTGATAATCATGGGCCAAGAGCCAGCAGTGTCGAGGATAGAGATAGTTAAGCACTCTGCTCTCTGACATCCATCTTTTGTGTGTGTGAATCTGTGGAGCCCATCAGAATCTAAGATATTTCTGTTTGGCATAAAATTGCAGTAACAATCGCTACCTAGCGTGTTTTATCTTGTAGAGCGATGGAAAAGCGTATCTAAATGCATCTTGCCTGCGCTCAGAAGTAATGCACATCTCCAGCCTTGCTAGTGGCAGAAATAAATGGAAATGGTAGCAGATAAAGGCTGGAAACGTTTTTCTCTTGTGCATTCATGCAAAGCATAGAGTGGAGCAATCGTCATGTATTCCTCATCCACTGTGCACCTGAGGCTGTTGTGAGCAGGGGGTGGAGAAGGCAGAGGCCCTGGACTCGGATTCCCCAAAGACAGAGCCAGAGAAGTTCATTGGTTCTTTGTCAAGTCAATGAAGAAATGTATTTTAAAGGAGTAGAAGTAAAGAATTAACATTTAAATAAGAAAATCCATAAATATGAGGCTGTTTTATGAATTATGAATTAAACTACAAGTTTTCATCTGCAGGCATTTTTGTGAGGGATTATTTACCGAGCTGGACAGTTGAACCAAGTATTTATGTGAAGTGACCATCACCTTCTGTAACTTCTGTGTGCTTTGTACAAATTATTACTGTAGTGTGAAGAATAGAAATATACCTGAATAATGTGCTTTTATGATAAATTTTAAAAGACCAGAAAAATGCCCATAACAGAACTAGAGTAAAGAGTACCAGTGGTTTAAATGGAGCAATGTATCCCACTGTAGGCTCCATGGTGGACCTGGCTTTGTGGAATTTGCCAAGTGTGTCAGCTTTTCTGTCAGTGAGATGCAATAGCTGACACCCATAGTTGCAAAGAGGAAATGATTTACTTGGCTTAAGAGTGCAAGGGAGTCAGTCCATGGTGGCTGCTCCAAGGCAGGAACATCCTGGCGGAGGGATGTGCACAGGGGTGTGGCTGAGCAGAGCGGCTCAGTTTATTTGGGCCAGGAAGCAGAGACGGAGCCGTGCCAGAGAGGGGCGGTGGGAGGGAGCAGATGCACCTTAGTTCCCAAGGTCACATTTCCCTGAGCCACCGGACACACCCAGAAGTGTGCCTTACAAATCCCTGGGTGGCGCCCAACACAAGCCAGTTGACAGTTAAGCTTAGCCATTGCATCTACGGACCAGGTGGATATAGGATCTGGCTCAGGACCAGCAACTTGGGACTCCTGGGTTTCCTCTTCTTTATTCTCAAAGCCCACACTAGTCAACCCAGGTTCTGCAGGATTCAAGGGTTTGCTTCAGAAGTAGTTGTGGGAAAAAGATCCTCCCCAAAAACGTTTAGTACTACTACTCTCATGTAGCGGAACCCTCTGTTATAATACAGTTTTAGCTTCTCTACCCACGTTACAGTCCCATCTCCCTCTAAGGACCTCTCTGAGATTGCTTCCGTGGAGTCCTGGACTTCCCCAGCCCACAGTCCTTCACTGCCCCAGAAGATCATACAAGGCTGATCACGGGGTGATGGTGGATGTGTAGTTTTCCCTGTTTGGTTCCCATCACGCAATATTAGATTTCTTACCGTCTTAGAACATTTTCAAAATTATAAGTGGGAATTTTACATCTTGTTACTGGGAGCTGTCAGAAGGTCTTCAATATCATTGCCCTAGAGGTAATCAAAGAAAAAATATTGACATTTTTATTCAATATTGAGAGGAACATCTGCATAAAGTATATATAAGCAGGCAATCCCATACTCTTAACAAAAGAATCAACTTTAAACAAATACTAAAACTTTGCACCACAATTACAGAATATGCATCAATTTTTATGCAAAAGAACAAACCCAATTTTGTTAGTAGATTCAGAAATTAATAAATAAAACAAAAAATACATAGCAAAATTAACAGTGCAACTTCATCCTATTCACTGGAGAATTCCAGAGAAAATGTAATTGTAACTAATACACTGATGGAATTTCTTGTTTTGCTTGAAAAGCAATTGAATATTAAATCATGATTCACTGGCTTCTTAAAATGTCTTTTAGTACTCAAGGAGAAAAGTATAAAATAACCTTCCCTGTTATTATTTTGTGAGAACTGTTTGTACTCATTCTCCAAAGCATTTCATGGAGAAAGGTTCATTTTTATCTTTTTCAGTTCTTAAAAAATTTTTTACCAACTCCCCAGTAGATTAAATAGCCTGAGAAAACTGGAAAGTATTTATAACTGAACAACAATCTATAGAACCCAAAGGCAGCTACTCATTGTATAACTGTGCCTTAGGCAAACTTCAGCTATGTTTTAACTAACTAAATTTTTTTTCCTCTCATTGAGTTTATTGGTATATTTTAAGTATACAGTATAGTTACATTCATCATTCGGATCTTGTACCTTTAAATGACAGGTCTTGGTTCTAATTTTTTCCCCATACCCCTTGCCCTCCCTTCACCCCCTCCTACCCTCCCCATTTACAAAGACTTCATTTCCATTTTTTCATTTTCTCCTATTTTTTTCTTTTCCCTTATTACCTTTCCCCTACCCTTCCCACTTTCCCTACACCTTTAGCCCTTTTCTTCCTATTTCACATTGTCAATTATATCATTAGGATCTTATGTACTATTATTGTTTTCACATCAGAGAAACTATTCAGTATTTACACATGTGTGACTTATTTATCTCAGTTAGTATATTCTCAATATGTATCTATTTTCCTATGAATGAATCTAATTTCTCATTCTTTATGGCTGAGTAGTACTCCATTTTATAGAAAAACCACATCTTCTTTATCCAGTCTCCAACTGATGGGCAAATGGGCTGTTTCCAAGTTTTAGCTATTACAAACTGTGCTGCTATAAACATATGTGCATATATATCACAGTGATATGATTCTTTTAATTCTTTTGGAAAGATAGCCAGCAGAGGGATGGCTGGGTCAAATGGAGCCTCTAGTCCAAGCTCTTTGAGGTATCTCCATATTGATTTCCACAGTGGTTGCACCAGTCTGCACTCCCACCAACAATGGAGAAGGGTTCCTTTCTCTCCACAACCCCACCAACATTTGTTATTGTGTGATTTCTTGATAGCAGCCATTCTTTGGGGGGTGAGGTGGAATCTTAGTGTTGTTTTCATCTGCATCTCTCAAATGACCAGTGATGTGGAACATTTTTTCATATATTTACTTGATGCTTTTACTTCTTGGTCTGAGAAATGTCTTTTTAACTAAAATATTTAGTCTGCTCAAGAATTCCGTTCATTGCATCATGACCTCTTGAGCTTCCTGGCCTCTCCTTTTCTTGGCCTTTTTCATTCTAATGCTGTCTACCTCCCTTAGGTGAGAACAGCTGACCCCAGGGAGATGCTGGAAAGACCTGCAGACTCTGTCTCCTGATTGGTGCCCACAGGCATGGGGCTCTTCTCCACTTTTGGCTGAGAGTGCACACTCTTCCTTAATAGTACCTTGGAAATATTTACCGTATTCCAAGGGTGTCAGTCACAACAGAATAGCATAGCACACCTATCTTTGAATGTTTAAAGTTCCATTTTCTCTGTTCAGGTGAATATCCAGGACTTAAGAATTAATTTCGAGTAACTGTTTTCCAAAATAATTAAGTCTCTAAAAATGGCACCAGCTATTCATCATTTATAATACTGAAATATTACTTCTATTTTTAAAATAGAAATTATATATCAATAAAAATAGTTGAAAATATATCAGTACAAATAGAAATATCATGAGCATCCACCTAACTCGAAATTTATCTGAACTTATATTCATTGATATATCATGCAGATTCACTCCTTCCTAAAGAACCTGTACACATGGTGTTAAATTGTGATCAGATGCACATTTCCTATTTCTCCATTTTTGACAGAATATTAATGTATTTTCTCTTATTCATTTCTATCCTATAGAAATGCAATACCTTACCTTTTATGAATATGAATTAACTTTTAGATTTTTAGAGAAGAAATAATGTACCAATGTGGCATATTCAGTGTATAATAAAGTGGTTTAGATTGTGCTTCTCTCATTATGAATTATTAGCATCTGGAAAGGTTTCCTGAGAAAAGAGGGCTGTGTCATTTACAAAAAAAAGGGGTGAAATATGGATAAGAAGGAAGATAAGTAATTATTAGTAAAAATGTCAGGAAACAATTAAAATATAAGTAGTTTTGTCAGCTTTTTGCCGTTGTGACAAATATCAGAAATATTGGTTTAAGACCCATTTTGGCTCAGGGTTTCTGAAGTTTCAGTCCATGGCCAGCTGGATGCATTGTTTCTGGACCTGAGGTGAGGTAGGACATGATGGTGGAGCAGAGCTGCTCACACCATGGCAGGCAGGAAGCAGAGAGAGGGAAAGAGGGTCAGAGAGCAGGGACCAAGGACAAGATACAGTGCCCTGGGTTGCAACCCACAAGCCTCTTCCTTCAGTTAGGCCATGCAGCCTGTGTTTCCGTTATCTCCCACTCATGCCATAAAATCATGAACCCATCAATGGCTCCATTCCCTGATGAAGTTAGAGTCTCAGAATTCAGTCACCTTCCAACAACCTGACTCTGAACACAGGAGGCTTGGAGGGGGCGTTCCAAACCCAAGCCGTGCTGCAGGTCTCTATCCAGTGTTAAATAACATGATATAGCTCAGTTCCTCTCTCTGCCTCTCCGCTCTGGTTCCTTGGTGTTTGATTGATCCTCTGAGCCCAAGATTACCTCCAGTAGTTTCAGAGGCTGCATACTTGCATGCTCAGGGTATGAGGAAACAGGGGAAGAGCTTTTGCAAATGGGAAGAGAAACAAGTAATGGATGGAGGGGTAGACCGTCTGAGAGGGACTAGGGATGTAAAAAGGCTTGAGATGTGTTATGTACATGTCCCAGGACCCTGTGATGAGTGTAATCATTATTCGTCACAAATATGCACTAATAAAAATTAAAATTAGGAAAAAAAGAAGCAAAATGCTTGTTTTTCTGGGCAGTAAAGCTCCAGCATGGAGATCCATTGACTTTCAAGTGGCATGTGTTCATCCTTATCGTTGTAGATAGAGATTGCAAGACATTGACTCTCAAAAGCTAATTAATATTAACCTCTGGAATGAGAATAAATCTTCCCCCCAACCCCACCCAAAGTGTTAACCAGGGGTTAGAAAATCTGGAAGAGCCCACAATATAGGTAGATCTGGATACCTCTTTAAGGACCATGGGCAGTTCTGTAGACTAAGGGAGCTCTTGTGCTTTGAACAAAAGAGGAATCCAATGAAGTCAGTGTGAGTAGTTAAGGCTGAAAAAAAAAAAAATAAAAGGTCAGGCCTGAAGGCACTCATAGGACGTATTGCCATAATGTTTAAGAAAGAGAAATCTGTTGAAGACTCTTAAGACAGTACTCTGGGAAAGAGGAAGTGAGGCCTTGGGCTGTGACCAAGTTTTTATTAGGAAGAACTCTGAGATGAAGCTTCAGTCTTCCAGTAAGATTCCAATTAATGTGATCTGGGCCCCTGTGACAGACAGGATTCTACCATTTCCTGTGCCTTAATACTGCACCTTCTTCCAAACCAAGCCACGAGCTGGCTTCCCTCCCCACTTCATTCTAGCTAGTCATAATCACCTTGGGTCTCATAATTCCCACAACACAGCCTTCCTAGAAGTCAGAGAGAAGGCCGTCATCAACTCCCCGGAAACCTCAACTTCCTTTCATCATAACCTCCTAAGAATTTTAAAATAAATATTACTCCCATCACAGCAGTGGACCTTACCTTTAAGTAAGAATTTTGAGTGTTTTGTCAACCAACAAAGTGTCCATTAGTAAGGAATAAAAAACCACAGTGGTTTGAACAAGTACATTTCCAGAGTCAGTGTTATTGGCTCGGCTGTTCATCCATACCAGCATCTCTAGCTTGGGCTCTGAGTGTTCATTGCATTTTCCATCATGGGAACAAAGTTGTTGCTCTGCCTCCAACTGCCACATTCCCATTCAAGGAAAGTAAACGTGTGGAAGAGAAAAGAGGAGCAGGAGTTTTTCTGCTTATCAGTAAGGCAAAATTCTGCCTGGAGTTTTTTACCCAGCACAATTCATGTACAGTGGCTAATGTGTTAGAACATGGTCACGGGACAGCTCTTATTTCTATTATTGGTGAAACACAGCAAGGAAGAAGGTAGTTGGGAATGATTTTCAGTAACCAGTCATCAGGGTCTTGCATGACAATTATGGTTGTACACTGTACTCTGTGCTCACACTTGGAGAACACTCCAACATTTTGCGTCTGACCTTGTGTTTGTCTGTACCTCATGCTTCATCTACCCATTAGGAGAACATTTGCATGTTTGATTACCAGCTCTAAAACGTGCCTTAGTCTCCTTCTCAACTACCAACTTCAGCTTAAGTCATTCAGCAAAGATGCTAGGATTTCAGTTTCCCTGAGTAGGCAATGCATGTACTAGAAAGGATATTATTCTTGTTTGTGCCTAATTATCTTGGCAGGCATTACCCATGTGAAAGGAAATATAGCAAAACAACCAGATGACTCCTGGGGGACTTAGCAGAAGTCTCCCATTTTATCCCTGACAGAGTCTGGTAAAATTTCAGGTAAAGATATATTACCAAGACACCTCAGCACTTAACTGTGGAAGGAACTCAGTACCAGAGCGCAACACCTGCATATCAAAAGTAAAATTAGTAATTATACTACTTGATGCAGTGTTAGAGGAAATAACGCAGTGGGAATTCTACCAGAGTCTTCTGCGGGCAATGTCTTCATGCAATTCTGACTTCACAATGATATGAAATTTTAAATGACAACTGTGCTGAATCAGCGAACAGCAAACCCAGCCAAGTTTAAATTTAGTAACACTGCTAGTTTACTGAAAATAACCTTCTCCATGGCGGATTCCCCAAATCACAGGTGACTGATGCTGGTGTTTCTGTTCTGTTTAGAGATAGTCGGGTACCCACCGGGACTCACACTGGTGGCTTCTCTCCTCCACGGCACTGTGGCGTCCACGGAAGGCGTCCCCTTGGCCGGTCCCGACACTGGAAGTCAGCCCTCCACCACGTCTTTGTTCTTCAAAGCTTCCACTGTGCATGTTCAAAACTTTCTAGATGAGCATAAGGATTTGAAGGTAAGTGAATTTTAGCAGTAACTCATATTCTTGTGTAACTCTGAATTGTATCAAAAGTAATTAAAAATATATATATATATTAAGAGCACTTACTAAATGTAAGAAAAATGGCTACCAATGTGCGGTTCCAGCGCAAAAAGCAGAAAGAAATGAATACGGTGCTTGAAAGAGGCATATGTCCTGTAAATAAGAGGCACAGGGGAAATCTTGCTCCTTAATGTTTCCCATGAAGAGGCCGCAGTGGTTCTCAGATGTCATGTGTGTAAGTGGCACATGGAGGTGAAGGAGAGGCCTTTAAAAGACAGGCTCCTGGGCATAATTCATAGAGATGTGGACTCGGCAGGACTGGGTATGGCCCAGGAACCTGACTTCTTTTGGTTTCTCGGTCTTTAGCCTTTAAGTCATGGAATTTGAAGAAATACACTTTGTATTTCCAAATCTTGGGTTGAACTTGGACTTTTACATGGTTTTCTTTGGTCACAAGAATAGGGAAGAGCCATGTCAGCACAGAAGTGCTAAATCAGTGCTTCTTGTTTAACCACTCAATTTGAATTTTTAATTCTCATTTATATTCCTTTAAAGTTTAATATAATGACTAATTCCCAGGTGTCCCTCTCTTTCAGTGTGATAGCCCTGTCATTGCCCTCTTTAGCTGGTACATTGTCCTGTATACTGTTTTAATTTATTCAGATATTTAGTTATTGAATATAGACTTGAACCCTTGACTTACAAACTCAATTCATTCACAAGGGCTTTCTGTAACTCAAGTTGGTTGTAAGTTAAGACTGTTTTCCCCATGAGAAATCATGGAAATACCAATAATGAGTTCTGAACCTCCCAAAGCACCCCTTAACTATCCTTTTCCTAATAGAGAAGGATTATATAATGTGCATAATTTATAAGAAACACATAATTATTAAGAAATAATTTTTCTAGTGTATTCAACAAAAAGTTATGAAATGTTCCTAGTTTACCAAAAACAATAGTTTCATACTGCACTCACCATTCAAGTTGTCACCTTTGGCTTGCAGGGAGGGAGGATGAAGTGGAAGGTCATTATTGTTGGGAAGCAGAGTCCCCTTTCATAAAATCATCAGGAATCTGGCTCCCCCTGGGACAGTCTGTAGGCCACGGGGACCTGCTTCTGGCTCACTAGGTCTCAACCTTTTCAGAACTAAAAATGAGTCTAAGGTTGCCTGTTTCTGTCTTTTCCGTGACTCTGTTCTGTAGCATGACATGACACTGTCATTAAGCAAGTGAATGCAACTGCAACGATGGGCTTTTTCTCTGTTTGGGTGAGTCTTCTCTACAAAGGTATGCAGCTCTGTCCATTTTTTCAGGATTTCCTTCATTTCAGAAGAACTTTGCTGCACTGATTGTTGATATCCCCCTCCTCTTCAGAAAACTCCTTAGTTGCCATTCTGTGTTGCTCAGCCAGAAGTTGCTAAAATTCCTCTCTAGACAATTCCTCTGAGTGCTCCTCCCCCAGTTCCTCAGCCTCACCACTGTCTACCTGCAAGCTATGGACTCTGCTATAGTGACGATGTTATCGACCACAGGGTCAATTGAAGGCTCAGGCTCCTCTGCACAGCCTTCAAATCCTCTCACCTATATAATTTTAGGCCATTCTTTCTTCCAGGTGGATCTCAGTGTCCTTAGAGAGACATTGGCCCAAGATTTCTCAATTAACCCCGCACAGGAAAGGATATTGTAATGTTCCTTCCAGAACTCTCAAAGGGTTAAATCTGTATCTGAGACCCTCTGGAAGCACTTCAGGAACAGTTCCGTGGTGTATAGCTTCTTAAAGTCAGCTATAACCTGCTGGTACTTAGACTGCAGTAGAGGAGTTGTATTAAGTGGGAGGAATCAAATGAACGCCATGGGAATTCTTCGGCCAATTCTTCTTCCAAATCTCATGGGTGAGCAGGGGCACTGACCATGATAAGGAGAACCTTGAGCAGCAAATCTTTTTCCTCTAGACATTTCTTAACTGTATATCAAAAAGCCTCTTTGATCCACTCAAGAAAAAGCACTCTTGTTATGCAGGCTTTAGTGTTAGATCTCCATGTAACCCCTAACCTATTCTTCATGACTTTACGTTTTCTGAACACTCTAGGAGTCTCAGAGTGATAAACTGAGAAAGGCTCTATCTTCAGGTCACCACTCACATTGGCACATAGCAATAAGGGTAGCCTATCCTTCATAGGCTTGTGGCCTGGAATCTTCTCTTCCTGGGTAGTATATGTTCTCCTGGGAATTTTCTTCCAGAAAAGACCAATTTCTCTGTTGTTGTTTCAAAGCAGTGTATGTAATTTTCAGCAGCCCTTTTATCAGCACTGGCTGTGTCACCTGCCTAGTTTTGCTATGAACCCCCGTTCTTGCTTTAAAATTGTGAAACCATCCCTTTTTGGCACGAAATATTTCACCATTATCACTCATTGATGGATTATCCTTTATGAGTTCTGCATTTATAGCCCTAGCTTTTTCACCAATTATAGACTCAGATAGGCTATAGCCTGCCAGCCTTTTGTTTATCCACACTAATACCAGCCTTTCCACCTCCTCTCACACTGTTGATCATGACTTACTCATTTGAGTAGCTCCTTTAGCAACATTAGCTTCCTTGTACAAATCTTTTTTCTGTAAGATTGTCGAGATGCTGGATTTCAACATGCTGTACATATTAGTGAGATTGGTCACATGCATTTCATACTCATACTTCTCCATAATTTCTTTCTTCTTTTCAGTTGTGGTTGGTTTATGTTCCTTTCATTCCTTAGCTTCTTCTCTAGCATTTGGGGGCCATTTTGATAGTGGTGATCCTAGTGATTATAAAAAGCACTGACTGAAATCACATCCGCAGACATGCACATCTGGGCTCAGACTAACACTTATGTATGCTTACATATGCTTTTCTGGCATTGAGAATCTTTGTTTACAACTGCACAAGCAGCCAGCATTTGGGTCATAACTCATTTAATTTGGTTGTAAAAATAAAACTAAAATTGCTGTCATAATTCAAGTTGTTTGTATGGGATCCTCAAGTATCCACTGTAATTATAAGAAACATCTAAAAGGTTAAATTATGAGTTATTACCAAAGCTGGCTAAGCATTTTTACATTCTAAGGGTTGTATTGTTTTCTCTTCATTTGAAAACTCAGGTTTAGATTTTTTTAAAGATCTATTTAATATATCATTACAATTATTCTTTGCAAGTAAGAGCTTATAAATCATGTGATATATTTATAACAGGATACAGGTACACCCAGTGAATATGACTTTTGTATTTCTGCTTCCTTTATCTCACTAATTTTTTATTGAGTTTATTTGTATATTTTAGATATACAGTACAGTAACATTCATTATTGGGATCTTGTACCTTTGCATGACAGGTCTTGGTTCTCAATTTTTCCCCCTGTGCCTGCCCTCCCTTCAACCCCTCCTCCCCTCCCTCTTTACAAACACTTTGTTTCCATTTTTTCATTTTCTCCCATTTTTTCTTTTCCCTTATTCCCTTTCCCCTACCCTTCCCACTTTCCCTACACCTTTAGCCCTTTTCTTTATATTTCACATTGTCAATTATATCATTAGGATCTTATGTACTATTATAGTTTTTCACACCAGAGAAACTATTCGGTATTTACATGTGTGACTTATTTATTTCACTTAGGAGTATATCCTCAATATGTATCTATTTTCCTATGAATGAATCTAATTTCTCATTCTTTATGGCTGAGTAATATTCCATTTTATAGAAAAACCACATCTTGTTTCTCCAGTTTCCAACTGATGGACAAATGGGCTGTTTCCAAGTTTTAGCTATTCCAAACTGTGCCTCTATAAACATAGGTGCACATATATAAGCAATTTTATTTATTTATTTATTTATTTATTTATTTTGGTACTGGGGATCGAACTCGGGTCCTTGCACTTGTGAGGCAGGAGGTGGAACCACTGAGCTAATTACCCAGCAAGCAACTTTATTTTTAATGTTTGGAATTTCAAGTTTATAAGAGGTAACTTATTTTATTCCAGTAAAAGATGGGATTAGTAGAGACATATTCAGATTTTTAATTGTGATGACTCCCTAAAGATTCAGTATGATTTCATATTTATAATGAACAATGAAGTTTTTAATCAAAATTCTGTGGTTGAAAATCAGGCTTATCGACATTCTCCTCTCTGTGTGTCTCTATCAGTCTTTGTACGCACTTGCTCAGATTATACCAGATTTCTGGTCCTTAACATATGAAAGACAAAAATAAACCCTTCATCAAAAAAATATATTCCCATAGTGTCAACTGCTTACACATATTAGCTATTAGAAATATACCTAGAAAATTGAATATAGTCATATGCATGAAATAAGGCAAAGTATATTTCATGTAATCAAATTTAAAGAGTTACAGAATTGGATTAACAGAAGTAATAGTTTCACATGCATTTGTTTTCGGAATTGTTCTCAAGATTACCATAATTGAACATAAGATTGGAAACTTTGAGATATACAACACCATAAAATCCTAAAATTTACAGAGCATAAGTTTATGGTTGAATACAGTCTCTAAATAGGACTTAACAAAGAGCTAATGCAACTTCAGTTTCAGAGAAACCTAGGAACTACTTTTTCATTTCTTTCCTCTCTATACCTCCTCACCTCTTTCTTTCTTCTTTGGCTTCTTTTTATTCCCCTTTCCTTGCAAAGGAGCAGGTGGGGAGAGAATGGAATTGTCCAGTAAGTGAGTCTATTTTCACCACTGACATTTTTCAGACTGTGTTCTTAAATTGTAGTTCCCTAAAGAAAACTTACAGTCCTGTTTCATGAAGTCTGAGGAAGCTGGCCTCAGTGCTCAGCAAGTAAAATATACAACAAAAGAACAGATTACAGAAACTGTAGAATCATAGTGGCACACAGATGTAGATCAGAAGTGGACCACTGGGATCTTGTATAATGGCTTATTTTTTTCTTACAAGTTTTTCATAGAAAAGTCCTAATACAAAGAGCAGCAAACAGTAACCTTGTCAAATATGACTTAACAAGGAGAAACTAAACAAGTAGTTTTTAATAGTGACTTTTTGGGTAAAGAAGGTAGGAGAATGTTTTTCTCTGAGATGAAGTTTGAAGAATTGAAGAAAAAGATTAGCTAAGTACTTATAAGTGAAACTGTATTTAAAATTATTCATTATTTTAGTTGTTATTGGCTTTTCTTTCATTCCATAATCCAGAAATGAAGACAGATAACTTGGTTTTAAGTCAGGCTTGATCAGCTTTATTGGGAAATCTGATATTGAGAGAGAAAAATAACTAAAAGTAAGACAGCTTTAGCATAGCAGAACCAACTGGGCCATGAGTGTAGAAGAGAGCAGATTTAGATAGGCAAAGAGCTCTGGGATGTATTGGTGTTATCATGAAGTGGTGTGATAAGAAAGCTGCAAGATACACACAAAGATTAAAATAAGTTTTCTCAAGTTAGGAAGCCAGCAAATTTATATAATAAAACTATGATTACTAATGTTGAAAAATGTTCATAATATGTGTTCACGGATACAGAACCACCTGGTGATATGGTCCTGTTTTTACTTAAAAACAACTACAGATGCGTACATAGAAAATGTAGAGGAATTAAAATATTGTTTAATCAAATATTTAATATTAAATCAAAACATTTAGCATCATCGATGTTTAGCTTCAATTGATACAATTATGGCTGACTTTTTAATAAATCTCAGGGCTGCTTAAATGTTTCCTAAAAGATGTATTTTTAATGTAAATTTTAAGTATTTCTAAAGAATTGGAAAAATATTCAGTTGTCTGGAAATAAGCTTTTTAAAGCTAGGAGGAATTGTTTAAGATGGTCCAAAACAAGGTTCTTGTGTCTTGTTAGACTTTGTGACTTGAGAGTGATGCTTCAAATTAAAGGAAAACAAATTTTGGATAACATTCTTCACTCGTAGAGCATTGTATTAGAACAGAATTCTCCATTTCCCTTTTCATTAAACATTAATTTCAAATTATAGAAATTAATTCCTTGAAAATATTCTTTGTTTCATGTTTAGGATAGTTTCAGTGTGTTTCCAAAATTTTTCTGACTGTACTAGTTCTGCCATTTGGAGGCTAACATCACACATTTGGTTACATTATTGATAAGCCTCTGTCCTTGAAGTCTCTAGGGTGACATATGGTTGGTCTCGCCATTATTACAACCAGCTGTGGTTGGCCTATCATTCTGTATGAATCCAAGTAATTAGCTCTTTAGTTTAATGACAGTATTGGTTAATGGGTTTTTAGGTCCAAATTCTGCTGTTACAGTCGGTGGTACGTCTGGAGATGGAGCCTGGCCCGTATGTTTTAAGCATAAGCTGTGTGATTTCATTTCAAAATGATAGTTTAGAGAGTTTGAGGTAGGAAAACTAAATCTTCCTTTATCTTAAATTCCTTACTTTTAAGTGTTACATAAAGGTGATAAGTTATATATTTAACAGCAAAGCCACTCAAAGTTCTCTGATACAGCTATCCTGTGGGTGTGTTATATCTTATTCCAAATATTCACATGGAATGAAATGATAATTATTGGACATTGGATCAATCTTTTATGTGCTGGGCGATACACTGAGTCATTTGAATGCAGTGAGACATCTCTATTCCTTGTAATTTCTGAGGACTTAGCGAATGGGGAGGATGCTTTCCTGGGAGTCCTGGAAGGTCAGGGTCTGACTCGGCTTCCTAGTTGTGGCCTCTCCCTGAGCCTCAGTTTCTTTGTCCTAGAATGAGGGCTTTGCCTCAGATGATTCCAGTGGTTCCCTCTGCTCTGAACTGGTTACTAACTTTCTGGAAAGGGGCTCTGAGAGGAAAGCCCAGGATACAAAGAGAATGAAATGTCTTGAACCAACGCTACAAACTAAGCGTTGAGCTGCATTGGTTTCAGGGGCTGTGCTTCAGTGCCTTTTTACTTGTATCCTGGAAAAGGAAATATTTGCTTGAATATAGAAGAGACTATAGACTAGTAGAAGTTTGCAAGAGGCAGAGTTCTGTCAAAACATTAAAAAACTAATAACAGTTGAGACATCTAAAATAGTCAATGGGATGCTGTGGGAGAGAAAAAATTTTCCATTGTTGTGAGAAAGAAACTGCATCGATAATTTTATGACCCTTCGAGGTACAGAGGCTAGAGGGGAATATTCTGAACACACAGGCATCCACGGAGTAATGTCATGAGCCCTTTTTGAAACAATGAGAGGAAAAACTCCACAAAGAAATGACTGTAAAAACTGCTAGAAAAGAACTGATTGTGAGCAGCTGATGTATGTACTTCTAGAACTAAATCTAAAATAAATATGTAAATTAGTGTAATAGACTATAACATAAAAATATAATATCCTGGCAACAGAGAAACAAAACAACTGGCAAAGATTAGAAAGGCACAACTGAAAGAAGTCTGTGCAGGTAATAAGTAACCTGACTGCTTTCTTCTCAGTCTCTGGGGTTTAACTTTGACAATCAAATTACAGATGTATATGTGTTTAAGAGTACAAATAAAGATATCTAGAAAGCTACTGTTATTATCTAACATTGCTGAAGAATAGGAAGAAACAGAATAAATGTGCTGTATTTCCTAACTACTAATAGAGAAATAATAAATATTCTAAAGATAAAAATGCTCTAGATTATTATATGAAGTTGTTATGTAAAATGACTTCGCCCCCTGATAAATATTTCTAAAAATTACAGATACTAAACAAGGAAAACCAATTATACAATGAAAGACTTTTTGAAAACATCTAACAGAAAACTCTAAAATACTATGACAGAATATCTTTTTCATCTTTTATATCAATAAAAATAAAGACATACACTTATCTCTTTAAAATGAAATATTTTCAGATTGGGTCACAGTGCAAAATCCAATTCTAAGTGTATACAAGGATACAACCAAAACCAAGTCATTCAAAAATTGAAAATGAAAAGATAAGCAAAGATATACGAGACCAGTACAACCTAAAAAACAGGGAGTTAAAAATGTTGATGTCAAGGGGCCGGGGATTTAGCTCAGTGGTCCCGCTGCCTGCCTTGCAAGGACAAGGACCCGAGTTCAATCCCTGCTACTACACACACACAAAAAAATGTTTATGTCAAAAAGATGAAATCTAGGTTCAAAATGTGTTAAGTAAGAGAAAAGAGGGACACTATAATGAGTGGTGTTGATAAAGTACATGATGAGAGTACACAGTCATGAATAAATAATAGCTTTGTGAACTGCCTTAACTGCTTGTCAAACAGATAGATTTAACTTCCAACAATATCCCAAGAAATAGAAATTGTCTATTCTTGATGTGTGAAATACGTCCAAAAAGTCATAGCTATATTAATGTCTAAAATTTATTTTGAAATTTAGCTTTCCATACAAGTATTTCTGCTGGCCATGGTGGCAAACACCAATAATCCCAGCTGCTTGGGAGGCAGGAGACAAAGGAGTATGAGGTAAAGCGCATGTGGCCATCTTAGCAAGAGCCTATGTCAAAATAAAAAAGGGCTGGTGTATGGTTCAGAAGTAGAGAGTGCACCTAGGTTCAATCCTCAGTACCACACCTCCACAAGTAGGGTTACTTAGTAACCAGAAAACTCATTTTGCCTTGTTGTTGTCAGCAAAAAGAGGTTAGGAGTTGCTTCTCTTTTTGGAAAAAAAAAAAAAAAAAAAGACAGCAAGCTTCCATGAAGGTTATAAATGTATACGTAAAATTTATTTTTTTAATAAAAGTGAGATGGTAGGGGAAGGGTAATAAGGGAAAAGAAAAAATGTGAGAAAATGAAAAGATGGAAATAAAGAGGTTGTAATTGGGGAGGGGTGAAGGGAGGGCAGGGACAAGGGGAAAAAATGAGAACCAAGACCTGTCATGTAGAGGTACAAGATCCTAACAATGAATGTAACTGTACTGTATCCCTAAAATGTACCAATAAACCAAATTAAAAAGAAAAAAAAATTTTTAAAGTGCAAGGTTCAGGCTCCTCCCACCCCAAACAGGTATACTTAACAGCAGGATATAATGTCATAGCTTTTGCACTCAAGAGGTTTCTGCTGAGCAAAAATTCTCATCCAGTTTAAGAATGAAGATTATAATAATTTCCCTATCCTCCACCCAGCAGGACTCTTGCCTTCACTTTTCAGACTGCTAAATTCCATAAAAAACAACCAGGTAAGGAGGTCCTGGTAACACAATACGGTCCTATTAACTCATCTTAGAATGCAAAGCCGCTTACTTTCCCAAGTGAAACGGAATGCGGTTGAGTTGCCTCTCTAATGCAATACCTATTTGTAACAAATGCACAATGGTTTATGATGGCAAACCTTGTAGAGCATGAAAAATTATGAAGGGAAAAGCTTATTTCTTGTGACCTAAAACTATGAACAGATGTCATCTCTGTTGGCATGCAACACTCCAACTGAAAGGGGAAAATATTCAAAAATGAAAATTTAATATATTGTCCTTTATGATGTATTACTTCAGAAAAAATTTAATGGAGCTATTATATTTTCTAATAGCATTTTTCCTAGATAGTACAGTCTTTCTAATTTACATACACTTTCTCCATTTTAATTTCTTTCTCCCTACGAGCTCTCAACCACGTGAGCCCAGCTTCCCTTACATGGTTTGAGAAAGTAAAGATAGCTCAGATTTCATCTTTTGCCTACTGCCGCTAGGACACTTACTCTGTATAAAGGAAACAAACTGCGGAATCCACACATTACTACAAAGCAGGCCGCTTGGACATCGGTCTTCCCTCTGAATAAGGGCGTTCTGGCTGTCAGTCCCAAGACTCTGGCTGAGGTCACATGGAGGAGTGGAGCGGGAGCGTCCTGTCTCCACACCTGCAGTCCCTTGGCTGCTCTTCTGTGGTGAGTAGCGGACCCCTGCCCTGCCCCAGGACGTTGCATGTCCTGTGTCTGCCCCGCACTGCTGGCTGTAGTGACTGAGTTTCTTATCAGGAGGGATAGCTCAGGATGAACTTTATAAACGGCACCGTTGATACGTGTTCTTGTCTAAGATGTAAAACTTTTATGCATTGTGCAGTGTTCTCAGATGAGGCTCCAGATCAGTCCCTGGATACATTAGAATTCAGTGGCTATTTATGTTTTCATGCCTGCAGCAAGACAAATACAAGTGGTTAATAACTATTATATGCCAGTGTATTCCTCGAACTTGAGGTGCATTATTGAATAAAACAGACCCAAAAAATCTATTTCCATAACAGTCTGTTGGGGTATGATAGAAAATATAAGAAAGAATTACAACAAGCATGTAAGTGAATTATGTAGTATCAAAAGGTATAAAACAGAAGTAACATAAACAAGAGATCAAATGGATAAGGCACAATAGAATGGCTGTGGGAAATGGGATCAGACCTAGTACTGTTTGCACTGGCTCTCTGGCAAATGCTTTCTGTGTTCAGTCTGGTTGTCTTGAAATCAGAAAATGTGAATTGGATTCCAAGTGCAGTCATTACTAAATGGCTGCCATGAAGGTTTCCTTTGTTTAGTGATAAGCTGCTATATGTTAATATTCACACTTCCAGTTTTTACCCGAGTTTTCCCCCATTGCAGCAACCAACTGCCTAGTCACCGGCTTTTTCTTTTACCTTACAGTCTATTCCTTTGCTTGATTACAAGTTTATCTAGTGGACAGCTATTCTCCAAGAAGCTTCCAAAGAGGACTTCCAAAGAGGTCAGACAGTGAAGAACATTAATTTGAAATTTCTTGCTTTTTTCTGGTAGCTCAAAACTCATGGAATAATTTTAAATTATAATGACTGTAATTCCTTCCAGTGGTGTTAAGCAACACCTTATTAGTTCAAAGTGATCCAAAGATCAGCTAGGATTATGTGAACTTCAAAAGCATCTAGTTATGCAACTGTTGGGCAGAATTCTCACTTTCTCCTCAAAAACATAAGAATTATTGTCTAAATTTGAATACATGTTTTTAAAAATGACTTACTTTCATCTCCGATTAGTTTCCTTTTAGAAGACCTCTTCAAGAATTATTTGCATTTGATTACTGTTTACTTCGCTGCCATTGCTGACCAAGTTCGTTTACTTTATAGGTGGAAACTGCCTCCTGGGGAAAATATTTTGTTCAGGAATTATCTCTTCAAGAATTATTTGCATTTGATTACTGTTTACTTCGCTGCCATTGCTGTGTGAAGTGGGAGTGATCTGAGAAATCTAGACCAAGTTCGTTTACTTTATAGGTGGAAACTGCCTCCTGGGGAAAATATTTTGTTCAGGAATTGATGATATGTTCAGGTTCAGGAGTCCATTGCTGGGAAAAATGGGACAGAGGTCCAGTCTTGTGCCCCCAGCCCTGCCCACCTCCGCTACGGGAGATGTTCACTGCCTACCACCAAAGTGATGCTCCCCTAAAAACAAAGAAAATGGCCCAGCTCTTTACATTTCACAAAGTGATTTGATTAGTGAATACGCCTATGCTCCCAGACTTTTTATTTTTGTTTGTTTGTTTGATTTAGTGGTACTGGACGTTGAACTTGGGGCCTTCACAGTGAGCTATACCCACAACCCCCATACCTCCTTTTTTCTTGAGACAAAGTCTTGCTAAGTTATTACAGGGCCCAGCTTGCAATTCTCCTGACTCAGCCTCCCAGGGTGCTGAGAATCCAGACACGTGCCATGACATCCACTCCAGAAAGCATTTAATAACCTCTGTGCAGTACTGACATCTCACTTTTTATGAAAATGATCCTTTGAGATTTTTTTCTTCAAAAACTAAATGAAAATTTCAGAAAGCTGTGAAATTACTTACCTATTACTGTGTATGGCTCAAATGAAATACAACTCTGTTATTTTCTGATGACTTATGGGAGTAGAAAATTAGCAAAGTGCTGAATTTAGAAAACAATTTAAGTAACATCTGTGGACTGTATTCCTCAGAGCTCCTAGGAAATGATACAGAGTCATGAACGCTCCCAGAACCCTCATAAGGGAAAATTATATAACTCACTGGAAAATAATTTCAGTAGATTTAATAGAACAGAGAAATAATGTATTCAAAACACAAAGAAAAGTATAAAGACTGCTGAGACTAGGAAATTTCATGTGCAAAAAAGTAAATATAGCATTATCAATTTATTTTCAAAGACAGTTTTTAGTTTGAGCATTATGATATGTCCTAAAATACTGTATATTTTATACAGTGTCTTATAAATGGATTCAAATTTTCCTTGAAATGAAGGGTATAAATGTAGCTTTATCCAAGTGAAAAATTGAGGTTTCATGAGTAAAATAGAATTTTCATGGGTATTTCCAGGCATGCTATTTATTAAGCCAATATATTATACATTTTAAGTAAATTTAAAAGTATGAATAATATTAGGCACAGGGCTCCAAATGATTGATGAGAATGATTATGGAAAACAGCTGTAAACACCCAAGGTCCAAAAGACTTAATGAGCACTTTGTGAACTTTTCAAGGTTTTATGGTTCTGATAGTAAAGGAAGAAAAATAAAAATAACTTTCCCAGTTTTGCTTCTTCTATTGTACATCTGTAAATCCTGCAAGACTGTAAGTCTAGGAAGTTAAAAAATAGATCTTCTGTTTGTTTCTTTATCCTTGGCATTGTTCACTTAATATCTTCCATTAATAACTAAAATAAATGGAAAATTATCATTTAGACCATATCTGATTCATATTAATGTGAAGGCTGTTCACATTCTAGCATTATGCTCATTAGGCTAATTGTTTATTATTTTCAGTAATAACTAAAAATAAGTTTACGAATATACAGTGCTAAAGTATATCAGATTTCCAATTATAGAAAGGCTATGAAAACAGCTACTTTATGTTTATTTTTGATGGATTGAATTCATTTTGTCTGAGGCCTATAGTCACATCCTTGGACATTTCTATCCTTCTTTCCCCTCTCCCCTTTCCCCTATGAGTATGGATGTGCTTTAGAAGGCAACAACATTTCTTTTGCATATTTTCCCCCAAAGGAACTTTTTCCTCTGGTTTTTGATCACGCCATACACGGTGGTCCTCTGCTCGGCAAGCAGACTGGTGGGCCACGCGTCCCCTCTGTCTACGCCTGCATGGCTCAGGAGTGCCTCCTCCTGCCGCCCGGCTGGGAGACATTGCTCATGCCTTTCACTGTCTCTTCACGCATTATGTAAATTGGAAAGAATAAAAATAATGTGCCTGGAAGTATGGCGTGACAGACAATATAATGTAATATAATATCCAAATACTTATGAGGTAGAAACGGTGCCTGGGGGAACCACATTCATTGTGAATGAGTATTTGCATTTCCACCTTTTTGTGTAATTTAGACTTGCCGGATAAATCATTCTCTATGAAAAGTAGAATTGTTTTAAAAATATTCTATTTACCACTCAAAGGGTAACAAAGAAATACTTAATGCAGTTTCAGTCTTTTGGGAGACATAAAATACAGAAGCATAAGAAGTCAGCTCACACAAAAGTTAATAATAAACAGAAATTTCTGTGTGGATTGACATAGCCATTATAAATTCTCCTTTTACATTTTTATGTAAATAAATTTGGTGCATGTAAAGGCTACACAAAAAATTAGGCACCACAGAAAAGCATTATTCTTTTTTGCTAGCAAGAATATATTTCCTAGTGATTTACCTTTGGACAAAGGACTGTTAAGTGCTTGATTCACATCAGAGATTAAATATTACAACTCTCACACTAGGGCAAAGAAATGCACTGCTATTCTCACTGTTCACACTGTTAAATCCCAGCTCACCCCTAGCATATTAGGAAATCACAGCTGTCCTTCAGAATTTCATACCACTGATGAGGTTAGTATCCTTTCAACTAAGGTTTCCTCTTCTCCAATGGAAGCTTAATTTTTAACATTGAGATTTGTGGTATTATTTAGTTTTGAAAGAAAATTATGCATAACCATATATATGTTTGGGTAAATGTTGAACACATTTGTCTCTGAAGCCAGAATGGCTTAGTTGTTTATATAACAAAATGAAAAATAATTAAGAATATAAACTCTGGAATCGGAATGCCTAAATTGACATCTTCTGCAACTTACTAGCTGTGGGACTTGAGAACCTTCAGTATGCTAAGTTTTAATTCCTTCTTCTGTAAAACGCAGATGGTAATACTGCCAGCATTTTAGGACCATTGGAATTGTATAAGTTGATTCATGTAAAGTTCTTTGTAAGTCTCAGTAAATATAGTCTGCCCTGATTTTTATTATTCCATGCGCCTTTTCTTTTCAGACATGAAATCTCTTCATGCAGCACTAAACTCTGATTGCTCCTTTATTCCCATTATTTCCATTAACTTGAAAAAGAGACTGTGTATAACTGTACATACTTATCTAACTGTACAGTACTTACGTGTGTGTGTGTAAGTATATAGAAAGTGAAAATATTCAAATGATGTTTAACAGAAAAATTTCCTTCTCGAGAGAATGGCTGCTTTAAACCTGCAGCTTTGGACTAGGATTTAATTAACAACCTAATGTCTCTGGCATCATAACCACATAAAAGGTCTGGCAAGATGTGTGAACCTAGGCACATGGGCATGGTTGGCAAGGCCTCTGAATCGAAACCTAATCCACCTAACAAGTTGTTTTATCAAAATATTGCGTGGAAAAGATTGTGTCTTATCGCGTGGTGCTCGGCTCTTGCTGAAGGCCCTGGCCGGTGGAGAATGTGGTCAGCACCAGCAGTATGCGGCAGGACGCTGAGTCCCTCCAGACCTTCCAGCAGCTGGCGTGAGTTAGGCGTCACGACACTGGACAGATGTCCACCAGTCTGTAACCCCGAGAAGAGCTCCGTGGAGCGGTGCTGGAGTCAGCTCTGCAGCAGCAGCAGAAAATCGGCCTTCGAGAAGTGGCCCGG